CTGATTGACAAGGGACTGGGGGCACTGGGTGTTAAAGGAGAAGAGACCACAAAAGGAGAAAGAAGAGGTGCTCTAGGCAAGTTAGATTTCAAGAGCCAATGTAGGAGGCAAGAAGTTCTCTGAGTCTTTCTAGTCCAGAGGCAAGTTCAGAAAGCACACTTGGATTTTGCCCCTCATTCCAACAGACCCTTGAGAATGCCTCCTCGGCAGACCTGACCACAGCCTGTGCTGCAGCACTTCTGCCCCGCCGGACACTATTCATCCCCTTGGCACAAATCTTTGCATGGGTTCTTGTCAAGACGACATTCTCCTTCTTTCACTGCAAAAGATATCATGGGAGGTTGGTGTAACTGGCCACTCCTCAAGAAAACGGGGAATGGAAGCCAAATGTACTTCAAGAACTTTCAATCTCTCCAAACACTCCTATGTAAATATCTCTGCAACCATGTTCCTCTCCACCCACACAACCACACACACACACACACACACACACACACCACTGCTAAAGGACCAGCCATTCTGCAAATAGAGAGAGAGAGAGAGAGAAAGAAAGGCTGGGGTGATCCTGTTCTCATGTAAGACTCTCTAGGACAGCGGTTCTCAACCTGTGGGTCGAGACCCCTTTGGGGGTCGAACGACCTTTCACAGGGGTCGCCTAAATACATCCTGCATATCAGATATTTACATTACGATTCATAACAGTAGCAACATTACAGTTATGAAGTAGCAACGAAAATAATTTTATGGCTGGGGGGCACCCCAACATGAGGAACTGTATTAAAGGGTCGTGGCATTAGGAAGGTTGGGAACCGCTGCTCTAGTAGAAAGCCAGGGAGGGTGAAGAAAGGCTGGGCAGCCCACCCTCGCTGTCCCAAGAACCTCTGCATCCAGTCCCGTCCTACAGAGATGGCCACGCCCACAAATGAGGCCCCTCACTCTGGGAGGAGGCAGGGGACGGCTTTTCTGGTCACTTTCTGTTACTGTTAGCCAGGGATGAGGACTCACCATGCTCTCCTGCAGCCACCCAGGATGTCAGGATCCCAAGAGCAAGAAGTGCCTTCAGGAGGAAGAGGGAGCTCAACATGATGATGATGCTGAGAGCTGAGATGAGAGTCCCGGTCAGGCCGGAGGTGTTCACCTCGCCCAGAGTATCAGCTGGACGAAAGTAGGACTAGGAGACTGGCCTAAATCTAGTCCCAAAGTTTGCCCTTTTATAATAGTCGCCAAGGACAGCCTCTTCTGACAAGAAGAAAAATGATTGGTTGTTGGTCTGTGGGAAAATTCCTGGCACGACCAAAGGGCACAGGGTGGTGATCAAGCTCTGTAATGTGCCATACGCAATAGCCCTGGACAATGGTGACGAACCTGGGAAATTGGAGGGAAGGCCACTGGATTGAGGATCAGAGAGAGCCCTGCAGGGCCTTGGGAGGACACAATAACAGGACTTAATAAGAAAATAACCAAAGTTAATGAAATGCACTGTGGCTCCTGCTCATCCTAGCAACCTAGAAAACAGATACTTAGAAACTCAAAAAGCTACGAAGAGCTACCTTTGAGTCTGCTCAGAGCTAATTCAAATGCACTAAAACCTACATCTTGGTCCCTCTGGCCCACACAGGCCATCCTAGGACTGTATGAAGGCTATGTGACAGAACCACCAAGAATAGTTGCTATGATTCAAGTAAATCTAGACCATATAACCTCCTTTATTTATCTCTTCTTGCTCTATTTCTTTTTTAAAATATATATATTTTTACTTATTTCAGAGAGGAAGGGAAAGGGAGAGAAAAATAGAAACCTCTATGATGAGAGGAAATCATTGATCGGCTGCCTTCTGCATGCCCCCCACTGGGGATCAAGCCTGCAAACCGGGCATGTGTCCATGACTGGCATCAAACCCGGGATGCTTCAGTCTGCAGGCCAATGCTCTATCCACTGAGCCAAACCAGCTAGGGCCTCTATTTTTATTTTTATTTATCTATCTGTTTATGACTTTGGTCAGCCATGATACCTAATAGTGTCCAGTGGCATTGCTTAGTCCAGTGAGGTTAGTGGGCAGGGAACATCCAAGACTCAAGATAAAATCCTCCTTAATAGTGCCAAAGAGTTCAGTGTCAGGAAGTTGCCTTGTTTTTGGTTTGTGGGGTGTGTGTGTGTGTGTGTGTGTGTGTGTGTGTGTCTTTTGCCTTATTGTTTTAAGGCTGATATTGGAGCATAGAGATTGATGTCCTATTATGTGCTTTATATACATTATTTTAATCCTCACAATAATCTTGCAGAGGTAAAAGTGGCTCAGAGGGACTGAGGAAAATTGCCCAGGGTCCTAAAGCTACTATGTGGTGGCTGCTGGAATTTAATACTAGTAATGACAGCATTGTTTGAGGGTTTACCTGTGCCATAGTTCTAAGTGTTTTATATTAATTAACTCACTTAATCCTCACCTCAACCTATGAGTTTGTTACTATTATCTCCATTCTACAGATGGAGAAACTAAGGTGCAGAAAGAAACGTGGGTCACACAGCTAGTAAATGGTAAAACAAAGAGAGGCAGTCCAATTTCGTAGTTCTTAACCACCATTCCATGCTGGATTTCAACTCAGATCTTGCTAACTGCAAAACCCACACAGACAGGGCGCATACCCAGGTTTTGGGCTCAATCCCTGATCAGACTGCCTGTGGGAGGGAGTCAATCAATGTTCTCTCTCTCTCTCTCTCTCTCTCTCTCTCTCTCTCTCTCAGCAATTTCTATATATAAAGTGCCAGGGGCCATCGCAACCGAACTGAGGACCAAACGGACAACCTTGAGTGATGCAACAAGGCTGGCAGGGGGCTAGTGAGGGACAACCAAAGGACTGAGCAGCAGGCTGTGTGGGGCGACCAGGTTGGCAGGAAGGTTAGTGAAGGACGACCAAACGACTGAATAAGCAGGCTGCATGGGGCCACCAGTCTGGCAGGGGGGGCAGGAGGGGTGACCAGGCTGGCAGGGGGCACAGTTGGCGGCAACCAGGCCGGCAGGGGGGGCAGTGAGGGGCAACCAGGCCGGTGGAGGGTCAGTTGGGAGCAACCAGGCCTGCAGGGGGGCAGTAAGGAGTGACCAGGCTGGCAGGGGGCACAGTTGGCGGCAACCAGGCCGGCAGGGGGGGCAGTGAGGGGCAACCAGGCCGGTGGAGGGTCAGTTGGGAGCAACCAGGCCTGCAGGGGGGCAGTAAGGAGTGACCAGGCTGGCAGGGGGTGGGGGGCAGAAAGGGGTGACCATGCTGGTGGGGGGGTGGGTAGTTAGGGGCAACCAGGCCAATGGGGGGGAAGTTGTGGGTGACCAAGTTGGCAGGGCAGGGCAATTGGGGGTGACCAGGCCAGTAGGCAGAGGCAGTTAGGGGTGATCAGCTGGCAGGAGGGTCAGTAGGAGCGATCAGGCAGGCAGGTGAGCAGTTAGGAGCCAGCAGTCCTGGATTGTGAGAGGGATGTCCAACTTGCTCCCAACTGTCCCTCTCTGCTGGCCTGGTCGCCCTTAACTGCACCCCCCTGCCGACCTGGTTGCCTCAGGATCGGCCCTAAACTGGCTGTTGGACATTCCCCAAGGGGTCCCGGATTGGAGAGGGTGCACCAGGGCCTCTAGTCTATATATATAAAGAGCCAGGGGTCGTCACATCCGAAACAACCCAACAGATGACCAAACAGGCTGAGTGGGGTGACAAGGTCAGCAGGGGGGTTAGTGAGGACGACCAAACATATCATCTATATCTATATATCCTAGAGGCCCAGTGCACGAATTCGTGCACCGGGGGGTCCCTTGGCCTGGCCTGTGGGATCGGGGTGAAACTGGCTCCCCGACATCTCCCGAGGGGTCCCCGATGGCGAGAGCGCGCAGGCCAGGCCGAGGGACCCCACGGGTGCAAGATTGGGGCCCGGGAGGGACCATAGGGGTTGTGAGAGGGATGTCTGACTGCCAATTTAGGCTCAGGATCGGGCCTAAACCAGCATTCGGACATCCCCCAAGGGGTCCCGGATTGGAGTGGGTGCAGGCTGGGCTGAAGGGACACCGCCTCCATCTACAAATTTCGTACACCGGGCCTCTAGTAAAATAAAATAAATTAACTCATGCACTTTCTACTACCCTGTGTTGTGACTTGGAAAAAGTAACTTTCTCTACCACTCATAAATCAATCCAATTCTATTCAGGGCCTCCTTACATCTAAGGCAAAGTTAAGGGGAGCTCTGGGGAACTCTATGGCTATTAAACCCCTGCATTTCCCGCCCATCCCAGAATCAGAGTCTGGAGAGAGAAGTCCAGCTCCTTGGGGTTGGGGGAATCCACGGTCCAAGTCCCAGCCTTTATTCTGATGCCTTCAGACTCAAGAGGTAGCCCCTGGGGTGGAAGCCTGTTAAGACCTGGTGGATGCCCAGCCAGCATGGCTCAGTGATTGAGGGTAGACCTATGAACCAGGAGGTCAGGTTCGATTCTGGTCAGGGCACATGCCCAGGATGAGGACTGGATCCCCAATGTAGGGCATGCAGGAGGCAGCCAATCAATGATTCTCATTATTGATGTTTCTAACTCTCCCTCTCCTTTCCTCTTTGAAATCAATAAAAATATATTTTTTTTAAAAAAGACCCAGTGGGTTAGTGCTAGAGTTGCCCGGGGCCTCCTGTCGTGGGGGTTCCGTGTCCATTCCAATTCTGGGGGCTCAGTACAGGGGATATTAAAGTCTAGTTTTCAAAGACTGAACTGCAGACGCTGCTGTATGAAACGCTCCCCTAAATTCCCCAACTTCAACCCCTGGAAACCTGCTCCCCTTTCTCTGCCCCGCACTTCAGACGGAGAACGATTCTTGACTGAACACCCGGAGTCCACACTAGCTAAGCGACCCCTCCCTGGAGGGAGCCCTGCCCACCCACCCACTCTGACTAGGTCTCCAGGGTCTCCGAACTGGAAGCGGCAGTTGGTTCCCATGGTAACTCCGCTGTTCGCCGCGTCGCGCTTTCAGGCAGGCGCCCGCGCGTCCCAATGACGTCACGGGGCCACTTTCCGGCCCATTGGCAGAGTCGGGCTGGAGTTGTGAGGACCCGGGGCGCCATGGGGGCCACTGGCGACACCGAGCAGCCGCGGGCACCCGGCGGGGCAGAGGGGGGCGGGCCGGAG